AACAGAAATGGGGGAAGGAGAAAGAACGAATGGGAGGTGGAAGGAGAAAGAATGAATGGGAGGGGAAGAGAAAGAATGAAATGGGAGGGGAAGGAGAAAAGAATGAAATGGGAGGGGGGAAGGAAAGAATGAAATGGGGAAAGAATGAAATGGGGGAAGCAGAAGGAATGAAATGGGGAAGGAAATGAAATTTGAGGAGAGGGGGAGGAAGGAATGAAATGGGGGGGGGAGAGGAATGAAATTTGAGGCGGGAGGAAGGAAATTGGAGGGGGGGAAGAAGGAAATTGGAGAGGGAGAAGAAGGAAATTGGAGGGAGAGGGGGGAGAAGGAAATTGGAGGGAGAGGGGGGAGAAGGAAATTGACGGGGGGGAGGGGGAGAGATTGACATCCATCACACACAATGCACCCCTTGCACACAGAAAAAAAACACAATGCATTACACACAGATACACGTACACAAGCAATGCATCCCTTACACACAGCAACACACAATGCACCCCTTACACACACTCAATGCATCCCTTACAGACGCACACACTGCATCCCATACATACACAAACTCATCTTGCAACCCTTACACAGATTCACACAATGCATTCCTTACACACATCAGGACATCCCCACACACACACACACACTCCACTCCCTGTGAACAAACTCATTGGTGGAACATGAAGGTGGACCCTGGGACCCAGACATTGAGCTGTGTAAAGGGCCCTCAAAAAAATGGAGCTGCTTCCCGTTCTCCCAGAACAGTGATTTTTGTGACCAGTTACAAACCGCCTCCAGAGAGCCTGTTGTACACCAGACCAGTGGAGCCAGACGGCAGCCAGAGCCCATCATCATCCTCATCTGGTTGTAAGTAGGCAATCTAGTATATTATTCGTGGCACTAATCTCTAATTTACCTCACATTAAAGGGACACTATAGTCCCCAGAACCACTGCAGCTTAATGTAGTGGTTCTGGTGTCTAGCCTGTCCCTGCAGGCCTTTTAATGTAAACACGGCGCACTGCAGCACTGGTGTTAGTTAACATGGCAGATCATATGGGTGGGGCATTGTGATGTCACATGGGGGGGCGGCAAACTTTACTTTTGCCTAGGGCGGCAAAAATCCTTGCACCGGCCCTGTAGACACTGCATCCCTGTGGGCGGATTCGGGGGGGGGGGCAGCACTTTGGGCGGACTCGGGTGCAGGCACCGGGGGGCCCAGACCTTGAGCTGTGTCAGGGGCCCCAACATTTCTGATGGCAGCCCTGAGAGGGAGAGATCGATCTGTGCCTCTGTAAGCACACATTTCACACAGATCCTGCACATGGCCTGACAGGTCCCTATATGATGGGTACCGAGTTCTGTGACGAGGAGCAGGGATATAATATAAGGTCGGGTCAGGGCCCCAAAATACAAGTTCTATGTTTCTAACCATGCCTGAAAAGTTACTTGCCACTGAGTCTGGAGAGCCATGGCAGACCCAACAAAGGTTAAATTCTACTTGCCAGGGCTACATTTTCACTAGCCAATGGAAAGTTGAAGCCCAGATGAGGTCATAGAGAAGCAATAGATTGGAGATGTGCTTGTGTGGCCAAATCTGCTCTCCCCAAACGAAATGTTATTATGAGAATGATTTGATTCCGGTCTGGAGGAGGAAGTGCCTATAGTTGATTTATGTGGATTTAGCCCTGCAAACAGGATCACAGCACCCTGATCACTTCATTAAGATGAAGCGGTCTGGGTGACTATGGTGTTCCTTTAAGCTGTAGTGTTTCTGGTGCGTAGAGGCATATATAATCTGTAAACTAATTTTAATAGAATTTTTATTTCATCAAGTATTTTTTTTTGTAAAATACATATAAGCCAAAAAAAAAAAAAAATTTAAAAACTGAACAAGATCCTTCAGCCGTAGACATGCGTCTTGGGTGGGAATGTGTTTAAAAACCAACAGTGAGTCTCTATGGTTGTCGCAGATTCAGTGCAGGTAGAGGAGCAGGGAAGATGATACAGACTAACTCTCAGTTTTAAAATACTGTCTGACCCAAGGTGCATGTATATGGCTGAAGGATACAAAGGTTGGGATGCGTTTTTATCATTTAAAAAATAAAATCTAACTTATTTATTTATTTTACATATTTCCTTTCAAAACTTGATGAAGGGATTATTATATTGAAAATTACTTTTGAGGAGACAGTTGTCTTTTAAAGGGACACTGTAGGCACTTTAACAAGTTCACCTTATTGAAGTTGTTATAGTGCCTGCAGACCTGCCCTCCCCCCATACCCCTTTATTTCACAAATTAGAAGGCTTGGAAGTGTGGCGTTAAGCCATGCCTCTAAACCCTCTGGGTATGAGAGCAGGGAATCTTAATTCCTGGCTCTGATACCGCAACATACCGTGACGTCACGTGCACATACGCAGTGCCATCATGGTCAGCCATAGAAAATAATTTAATAGCCGTAGAGAATCATAGAGTAGTTGTGCATGAGGAGCATTGATCATCTTGCATGCAAGCCTCTAGAATGATGTAATGCAAGGAGGAGGTCGCGGCAGGGTTGAGGGAGACTCAGCGCTGGAGGAAAGGTGAGTAATTAGTTTTATTTATTTAAACACCGGCACGGGGGGAGGGGGGGGCGGGGGGGGAGAGGTGGAACTAATTTATGAAGGGCATCAGGGCTGTAGCATTAGGAATACAAATATGTAGACTGTAAGCTCACTGTAGCAGGGTCCTCTTCATCCTATTATTCCTGTAAGTTTTTGTAATTGTCTCATTTATTGTTAAATCTCCCCCTCCAATAATATTGTAAGTGCTACTTAATGACAATCATAATAATAACACAGCATTCCTTTAATGTATACAGAAAGACATATCTTTTGGGAGACACAGGAAGGAAGTGACACTTTATCTGAGAGGTTTCTGCCCATTACAGGTGATCTCTCATTGTAAGGTTGATTGACCACAAATTCACAAGTGCTTCCTCCCTGATACAATGAATATTAACATATTCATGGGCACTCTTAGTGCAAAGATATAAAATACCTGTCCTCCCTTTCCATTTCCTTCCTCATAGCAAAAAAACAAACAAAAGACAAACAACAAAAACAAAACATATCCCACCAAAAAAATAATGAAAACCAATTGTTCACACGTCTTCACACCTTAAGGCTGTTAAAGCACAAAACAATTGTTTTGTCTCTGAACATGTTAGCATGTTTGCTACTTGTAAGACACATGTAAATGCACATCCTCTCTTTGAATGGAGATCGAGGCAGCACACAGATTCAATATCCAGTTATTCCTCGTTTACTAGTCCTGGATGTTTTAGATGTGGTAATAATAAAAATAGGAAATGTTCGACAACATGCGACCGGAGAAATAAAGTACCATTTAAACTTTACTTTAAAAAAATACTGATTTAGGAAAAAAAGAGGAACAAAATAGCTAAATTAGACTTAAAAAAATAAATAAAAAAAAATTCTGCTATTCTGGCAGTTAATGTATCAATGATTCTCAATTTAGTGAATAAAATGAGTGTTCCAGTTGTGTGATGTCCAGTATATATAACCATTATACCTTAGGATGGGTCAATAGCGGTTAGTGGATCACTTTTCTCACGGCACTGTGCCAACCTAAGCAAAATAATTAAATAATCAGAGTCTAGTCCGGTTTACTTAAAACAAGGAGCACTTGCCCTTAGGAAAAAAAAAGAAAAACTACAATTGCTGACAAGTCTTGTTTACAATGTTGTTATTAAATAAGTGCTGTAAGCACTGCCCCCCACCCCCCTCAGTAAGGACCACTCACTGCCCCCCCACCCCCCGAAAGGACCATTCACTGCCCCTCCCCCAGTAAGGACCACCCACTGCCCCCCACCCCCCCCGAGGCTGACCCACCACCGCCCCCTCCCTCAGTAAGGACCACTCACTGCCCCCACCCCCCAGGTAAGGATCACCACCTGCCCCCCGTGTGCAAGGCATCACTCCACCGCCCCTCAGCAAGGACCACTCACTGCCCCCCCGCAAGTGACTGCACCACCATGCCCCCCCTGTGCAAGGACCTCCCCACCGCCCCCCCAGTAAGGATCACTCACTGCCCCCCTAGTAGCACCTCACCCCCCTCAGTAAGGATCAATACTCACTGCCCCCCGCAAGGGATCACTTACTGCCCCCCTCAGAGGATCACTCACTGCCCCCCCCAGTAGCAAGGATCACCTCCACTGCTCCCCAGGAGGGATCACCACCACCGCCCCCTCAGTAAGGATCACCTCACTGACCCCCCAGTAGCGGACCACCACCGCCCCCTCAGTAAGGGACCACTCACCGACCCCCCCAGTAAGGACCACCACTGACCCTCAGTAGTGGACCACCTCACCGCCCCCTCAGTATGATCACTCACTGCCCCCCCCAGTAAGGATCACCACTGACCCCCAGTGGGCGCGACCACTCCACACCGGCCCCCCTCAGTAGCGCGATCACCACTGACCCTCAGGCGATCACCACTGACCCCTCAGTAAGTGGATCACTCACTGACCCCCGGCAGTGAAAGGACCACTCACTGCCCCCCCTCAGTAAGTGATCAACACTCACCGCCCCCCTCAGTGATCACCACTGCCCCCCCCAGTAGCGCGCCCCCGCCCCCTCCTCACAATGGTTTAGTTCAGTAGCCCCGCCCCCTCCGCAACAGCTCTAGCCTTCGTGGCCCCGCCCCCTCCGCACAATGGTTTAGTTCAGTAGCCCCGCCCCCCCCGCACACCGCTCTAGCTTGCGTGGCCCCGCCCCCTCCGCACAATGGTTTAGTTCCGTGGCCCCGCCCCCTCCGCACACGGCTCTAGCCTGCGTGGCCCCGCCCCCTCCGCACAATGGTTTAGTTCCGTGGCTCCGCCCCCTCCGCACACCGCTCTAGCCGCCGTGGCCCCGCCCCCTCTCCGGCTGATTAGCATGCGTGGTGACGCAGTGTTGCGGGGGCGGGGCCTGTCAGCCATGGAGCTCGCGGACCGCTAGCTGGGAGAGATGGAGCCGGTCATGGTGCCGGCGCTGCGCTCGGTGCTGGCTGTCAGCGGGCAGAGCTGTGAGCTGAGCCTGGACTCGGAGCGGCTGGCCTGGCGGGAGCTGAGACCCAGGAGAGACCGGAGCCGCCGGACTGGTGAGTGACCCCCCGGGGCATCATGGGAGAGGGCATCATGGGAGAGGGCAGCCTGGGAGAGGGCACCATGGGAGAGGGCACCATGGGAGAGGGCACCATGGGAGAGGGCATCATGGGAGAGGGCATCATGGGGGAGAGGGCAGCCTGGGAGCACCATGGGAGAGGGCACCATGGGAGAGGGCAGCCTGGCACCATGGGAGAGGGCATCATGGGAGAGGGCAGCCTGGCACCATGGGAGAGGGCAGCCTGGGAGCACCATGGGAGAGGGCACCATGGGAGAGGGCACCATGGGAGAGGGCAGCCTGGGAGCACCATGGGAGAGGGCACCATGGGAGAGGGCACCATGGGAGAGGCATCATGGGAGGGCATCAAGTGGGAGGGCAGCCTGGGAGAGGGCAGCCTGGGAGCACCATGGAGAGGGCACCATGGGAGAAAAGGCCTGGCACCAAGGAGGGCAGCCTGGGAGCAACGGGAGAGGGCAGCCTGGGAGAGGGCACCATGGGAGAGGGCATGGGAGAGGGCAGCAGCCTGGCACCATGGGGAGGGCAGCTGGGAGAGGCACCATGGGAGAGGGCAGCCTGGCACTGATGGGAGAGTGGGCAGCCTGGCACCATGGGAGGGCAGCCTGAGAGGGCACCATGGGAGAGGGCAGCCTGGCACCATGGGAGAGGGCACCATGGGAGAGGGCAGCCTGGCACCATGGGAGAGGGCACCATGGGAGAGGGCAGCCTGGCACCATGGGAGAGGGCAGCCTGGCACCGCCAAGAGGGCAGCCTGGGAGAGGGCACCATGGGAGCCCTGGCACCATGGGAGAGGGCAGCCCGGGAGAGGGCAGCCTGGGGAGGGCACCATGGGAGAGGGCAGCCTGGCACCATGGGGAGAGTGGCAGCCTGAGAGGCAGCCCGGGAGAGGGCACCATGGGAGAGGGGCAGCCTGGCACCATGGGAGAGGGCACTGGGAGAGGGCAGCCTGGCACCATGGGAGAGGGCAGCCTGGGAGAGGGCAGCCTGGGATAGGGCAGCCTGGCACCATGGGAGAGGGCAGCCTGGGAGAGGGCAGCCTGGGAGAGGGCACCATGGGAGAGGGCAGCCTGGCACCATGGGAGAGGGCAGCCTGGGAGAGGGCAGCCTGGGAGAGGGCAGCCTGGCACCATGGGGGAGGGCAGCCTGGGAGAGGGCAGCCTGGGGCACCATGGGAGAGGGCAGCCTGGGGCACCATGTACATTGCGTAAGGTTGTGAAACTCTCTAGTATAGAAGTTTATTCAGCAACAGCAAGTTTATGTATTCTTGGAAGAGAATTGCAAGCTTTAGACATCAAAAAGAAGAGTTGGTGGGAAAAGTCAAACTTTTCACTATTTTATCACTTTTGCATGAAGTTTCTACAGCCCACAGTTTAGTTGCCCACATCATTTTAGGATCAGGACCCCCATGCTAATGAGTTAAAATTACATACGCTACTCTTTGATTTGTTATTGTTTGGTTTGTGAATGATAAATGGCTTTGTTTACACAACAAATGTTTATTTTATCTGTATGTTAGTATTTGTTTATTTATACAACAATTGGTTGTTCTAAATAGAAAATTGAATTTTGCAAAACAAAGGCCAAACTAGCGCAGTGTTTGATAAGCAAGCATCATATGGAATCTTGGCATTGTCCAAGAGTGTTTTAATGTATAATTTACACAGAAGTAAACATTGGTGTATGTAAAGGAAAACACTGACCCCCCATAATGCCGTTATGTAACTTGTATTTATACAAGGAGACTTTGCATTATGGTTCGTGTTAATGTCAGGCTAAGTTTAGAACAGATTTAAATTAACACTGCGCAGATTTAGTCAGTAAACTCTGAATTGTCACAGATTGTAGAAGAGGTTTTCCAAATCAGCTTTTTTGGCCTATTTTATAGCGGATGGCATGTCCATGGCTGTGTTTTCTTTTACGAAACATAGACCCCGGGCACTTAAACGCTATGTAACTTATTCAGATGTACTTGTATGCACGGTTGAACAAAAAAGAAAAGTTCAACTAATTACAGTACATTTAAAGCTCAACAGTTCTCAAAACCATATTACTGTAGCAGCATGTTCAGGCTATCTGTAAAACAGAATTATCCAGGATGACCTTGTGTAGTTTACTGGAAACAGATACAGTTCTGTAACTCCTGAGACTTGATTTTAGAAAGACACGCAGGCTCATATTATAATTCAGTTTTTTTTTTTTTTTTTTATTCCCTCAGCAGGTAAGAGAGAAACATGTTTAAACTTTAAATATAACAAATTTGGCATGCAAATAGTTAACATCTTTTACAGCTACCCTTATCTCTTGTATCTCAGGTTACCTCAATTAGTACATGTTATCACTCAATGGATAAGCTTGAGTATACAAACATTGGTCAGATGGTAATGAAATAATTACTCCAACCAAAAACAGTGTTTCGAGTTTGTATGTACAGTGAAAACCTATGAGTATAAACACCATGACAAAGCATGGACATGTTTTGGGGTAACCTTTTAAAGTGCTTTAAGGGTTATCAGAATGTCCCCTTTGTCTTATTTTATAAAAGTGTTTTTGTCCCTGTGGTAACACCTTTCTCACTTGCTTTGAATGTTTGAAGTTGAAGTGAGCACTGTTTCGGTGTTTCTCGGTGAACGGTTCATGGCAATTGCTGCGCATGTGCCCTGTGTCCCAATGCTTCTGTGAGAGACATTGGGTTAGTCCGAAATCATCACATTGTGCGTCTGCAATAAGATCTATGGAGGATTCTGCAGGCAGCTTATTTGGAATCTGCCTTGTGCCAGTTGCCACCTCATCTGGAGCCTGGAAGCTCCTGCAAGGAGCTTACATTAGTTACACTGAAATAAGTTCTACATGAACTAGCAGGTGGTAGGTTCCTGGTTAATAGTTAAAGGGAAAAATGAAAATCCAGCGCACTCCCTTATCTGCTAAACAGCTATTTAGCTAGTTTTATTATTAAAAACTCCTAATCTAGGCAAAAAAACAATGGGGGTTTAGTTACATTATAGCTCATTTAGTAGACAGTTGACTGTGTTAGAGTAGGACCTGCCAAATATGGGGTACATTGACATTGTGGCAGGGTATGCAATGTATGATCATATAATGTAACTAACCCCCCATTATTTTTTAGGCGTTTTTAATAAAACTAGCAAAATAGCGGTTTAGCAGATAAGGGAGTGCGCTGGATTTTCATTTTTACTGTACTGATTGGCCCCCCAGCAGCACCCCATTCAAGCATGAGTAGATGAGTGCAGCCAGCTCCTTGTTTTCTCGACTAGTTAAAGGGAAACTGTAGTGCTAGGAATACAAAGTTGTATAACTAGCACTATACTACCCTCTGCCACCCCTCCCTGCAGCCAAGAAGGGGTTAAAACACTCTTGTCACTTACGTGATTCCAGCGCTGCTATCCCTCAGCGATGGATCAGGCTCCGTCTCCACTCCTCTACCTCTGACATCAGCCAATGACGGTACTTAATGCACATGGACGGTGATTGCCCCAATCACATTAGGACTATCCCATAGGAAAGCATTGAATCAATGATTTCCTGTGGGGTTTTAGCGGACGCTAAATGTCCGCATGCAAAGCGTGAGGATGTCCAGTATCAAGCTATGGACAAGGAAAGTGCCTCTAGTGGTTCAATCCACCAACATTACTTCTCATAGAGTAACACTGAAACCAATGTTTCTCTATCAGAAATGCTGTCTTCCGTTTTGAACTACAGCATGGAGTGAGGAAGGAAACCCTTCCAGCTGTCTACTTGTCTGATACTATATCGAATGTTAAAATCTTCTCTTAAAATTTTAAATGATCAAATAAGCCTGCAGGGACAGGCAACGATCACCTAAAGCACTTTCTGCAGCAATATTTAGAATGCTTTTCTAAGATGTAGTAGTTTTGGTGCGAATAGTGTCTCTTTACGTGTTAATACTTCTAGCCGAGACAGAGTACAAACGAGGACCTTTGTATATAAATAAACCAGGGACGTATGTAGCATTCTAAACAACTAAAAAGTAGCTTCTAAAATGTCCTGTCCTCTAAATTCATAGCAAGTGACGGTTAAAGGGTTATTAACTAAAATCAGAATTTGGAAGGTGAATTAGAATTTTATGGTCAAAGTAGTTAAAACTGGAAGCATAGTGGACTTAAAGAATCTTTCCAATTCACCTATTTTGGCCTTAAATTTGTAATTCACTTTACACATTCTCACTTTAGCCTCTCTTTCTGTAAAATCAGCAGTATTTTTTTTTTTTTTTTTAGATTGTTCAACTGTTTGCCTGAAAGTCTGACTCTGCATTTTTGTTTTGTTTCCTCTGCTTATCAGCTGTTGCAATAAAAACAATTGTGTTAGTGGCATATGTGCAATAGAAACCGTGATTCCTTAGAGCTATTTAACCAGTTAACGCAATGTACCGCTGTATCAGGCTGAACCACATGCTGCTGTCAAACTTGTGATAAAGTGAAAGGGGCAGTGGTTTGTTGTGATAATGATGCTAGAAAGCTGTCCTTGTCCTTTTTAAATCCTCCTCATATTTGTGATTTACCTCTTCAGTCTCATGTCAGGTCATATGCGTACCTGTAGCATACTTGTTCAATATAAGATGGGGAAACACATTGGGAAGGATCTTAGGATCTTAAGAGTCAGTCTTTGTCTGATCTTTATATGACCTGCTGATAACTATAAAGCTCCACAATCAATCAATACTTCACACACTTGTGAATCACCCAAAATGTAATTATTTGCATGCCTGCTTCATTTGAAAACTACCTGGTTTGTTGTATAGATCTCCCCTACTAACGCTTGTTACGAGCATGATTTATGTGTTATCTTAAAAAAAAAGCTATTTATTT